TCCAATGTCCTGTCTCCAAATACCATCATACATAGATTTAGGATTCCAACATATGAAATTTGAAGGAACACAAACATTCATCCTGCAACACATGGCCTAGTCAAAGCAGTAACATTACATCCCTTTACCCTATAACACAGTCTAATCAGTGATGTGATATCAGCCACTTCTGGCATATTTAGTTGATTAGAAGCAAGTCAAGTTCTGCTCTCTAGGAGAGGGAAACAGACAAGTATGTTTCCTATTCACCTTGGAGTATTTGATTTAGTGATGTTGACATACTCTTTCAGCAAGAGATCCATTATGTTTCTCCCCTTGAATGACTACTTCACTGTGCTCACTTTGTCATGAAGAGCAGAGATGAAGTGATGCTGCATGGCTGCTTAAGTTGGGTCACAAAAGTGATCTCTCTCTCTCTCTCTCTCTCTCAACATGAGCTTTTAGATTCAGGAGCTTCTGAGAAGGAATCCTGTGACCTCCAAGTCCATACTGGAAAAACTCCATTGAATGGGTTATTTGGAGAGAAGAGACCACTAGCCAATAATAGGCATCAACTGCCTGACATTGAAGATGCCACATTTAGATGGTTTGCCATTATTGTCTTTGAGTCCTTCTACCTGACAGCCTAGACATCTACTAAGTGTAGATAAGCCATGACTGCTACATGTTTTGGAATTCAAAATCCTCAAAACTGAAAAAGCAGAACAAATGGTTGCTCTATATCATCATTAACTTTTAGATTCATATGTTTCATAGTCATAGTAACTGAAAGAAGTGTAAATTTTAAACTAGCTACTCAACTACATACAGTAGTTCCTAGACTCATGTACCAAAACACTGCACAGTAAGCCCTCCACAGGCTTCTGTCACTTTTCATTCTGTGACTGGTATGTTGTAGAAACTTTTTTTTTTAATGTGTATGAGTATACTGTCTGCATGTATGTGAGTGCACCCGTGTCATACAATGCCACAGAGGTCAGAAGAGGGCTTCAGAACTGGAGTTAAGGACAGTTTGTAGCCTCCATGTGGGTACTAGGAATCGAACCCAGGTCCTCTGCAAGAGCAGTCAGTGCTCTTAACTGCTGAGCCATCTCTCCAGCCCCAATTGTAGAAACTCTTAGCTGGGATGTCTTGAAGGTCCAGCAGCTTCCTTCTTGAATTTTAAAACCAATGTTTTAGACCATCAGAACAGAAAAACAATATTTTAAAGAGGCAATAAAATGTGAATATTTGTGATTTCAAAGGTAATGAATCCCTAGCCACTGACACCTCATGAACAGTATCTGAGTCCCTCAATGTTTTGCCCACCACTGTGATTTTGTGGGCTCTTCACTTATTTTTACCAAGCCAAATTATGTTAAATTGTCTTATCTAACAGATGAAGTCTTCATTTAGAGGTGAAGAAAGCATCATAATTTTCAACTGACATTTCTCTGTTGTTTGTAAAAGACATAAATGCCAAGGATCAAGTAGAAAACTTGATTATTTCTACTTTACTAAAGAGAATGGATTTGGAAAAGATCAACTGCCCATCTCACCTAAGTCAAATTTCTTTTCCTTCTAGTTATTCTGAGGGTCTTCAGGTAGGAAAGATGTAACCTGTTTGGAGAGACTTGCCCTGTTCTATACCAAAGGAAATGAGTATCTAGTGGAACAGTGGTCCTAAATTAAGGTCACACTGCAATTTCCATTGCAATAGAACAAGAAAATGAAATTCAGAAAACAATCCATCTTTCTCAACTAAATTTTTCCTAAAGGGCACTTGCTACTGAATGCTTTAAAGATAAAATACTTCCTGGAAATTTTTCTTCATTTCTAAAATGAAGAAAATATCACCTCGTCATGTGTCTCTTCTTAACTAGTTTCTGAAACCACAGAAAGCATCTAAGCATAAATTGCTTATCCTGTTTATCTCATTCTCAGAAGCAGGGCATCAGGGGAGAAAAAAGCAGCTATGCATCTTATATTGTATCCAATCACAGGTCATTTATTTTTGGCAACTGTAGTACCATCTAGTCAGTTAGAATGGCTTAATAAATATGCTCTGTGTCATCCTCTACTGGGCCAGAACTGCTCAAGGGACCATAATCAGAGTCTGAGAACATCTGCCGGACTCAGACACTGACACCTGCTTGGTGAAGAAATGTCAGTGCATGGTATGTTTATGGGGCTGCGTGCCACCAGCTGAGTGGTGGTCCTGGGACCCTGAAGCCTTGTTCATGGCTCAACACTGGCTCCTGTCTGGGGTCTGTGTTCCAGCCTCTCTGGCTTTGGAACAGTGTGAAGCATTCTGATTCAGTAGGCTGTTCTCTGCCTTGATCATTCTCTGCATTCTGACTAAGGGAAATGGCACCTCTGAGGACTGCCAGCCCTCAACAACAAAACCCCCCTTAGATTCTGGTCTGCCTGTGGTTGTCCTTCAGTGAGAGTAGAGGTGTGATTTGCATCACAATAATAACAACGATGAATATACTTCCAGCAAAGACTGCAGAGTTTCTAGCAGAGAGCTGGGACTTAATAACCGCCAATTTCCATTTTCATTCTGTGAGTTTTTCTGACAGTATTTTTATCTTTTCCATTCTCATACAGACTCAATTTTTGACTAATATGAAGATTCTTGAGAGACAGGCTCAAGATCCCACTAATATGGTGTGGCTTCAGTGTATTAGCCATGATGAATCAGCTCTTATGTGAAATTTTTCCTCTTGAAGAAGAAATCTCACGTCTTTTGGTCACTTTCTCTAGAAGTAAATTTTCTCTTTTTTTGTGGGGGGAAAGCCTGGTGAACCTCCAGGTTCAGTTGTCCCCCCTTCTTCCTCTCCATGTGTTTGTTTCTACTCAGACTTCAATATGCCTGCTGCTGCTGTGACCTTCTGATCTCTAGAGGGTTAGCTGCTTCTTCCCTATTCCAATATTCTGCTAGAAGGAACCAATCTCTACAATGCTTGACACATGTAGTGTAGTTATCTTTGTTTACTTTTCTTAATAAATATGAACCTGAAGGCCAAGGAGTGTGTCATTTTTTTCACATTTCTATGTTCCTAGCATAATGATAAGTGCTCTCAAATATGTTGTTTTGTTTACCTAAAGAAAGCCTTTAGGTACAAAGTGACAGACTGTTTCTTAGCAAGGAAACTTCTAGAACATTCTGCCTCCTCTAGTGGATTTACAAGGTCCTATTCTGTCCCAGTATGCTCTGAATGTTCTCTACATTCAGTGTTGTTTTTACATCAAACATAATTAACAAGAAGCATAATTAGCACAAATAACAGGAGTAATTAGTGCCATGTTCACTGGTCTAACTGCTATTCTGCCTTTATTTTTGTTGCTGATGGAGCAGTTGTTTATCATGCTTTTCTAAACTCTATCCAGGAGATCCTGGGCATGGAGGAACAAACTTATTCATTCTTTGGGAAGGGAGGGGGATGGTAAATATTGCATGTTTTCTTTCCATGTTGTATGTTATGTACCTAACAATATTGCAAGCATCTATAAAATGATGCAACACATTGTTTTTTTCTGGCAATTATTTCATTAAATTCTTTAGAAATTTTTTCAGTAATTGCATGTTAGACATTTTTTAAATCATTATTTATTTAAAAATTTTTAAATAACTACATGATTAGAAGAAGCATTTCATTACAGCTTTAACATATTCAGTAACACACTCCAGAGCAAGAGTACATCTCTT